CGTCTCTCCCGCACCCCTCTTTCTGCCCTGGGCTGCACCTCCCTGCCCTCCCTGCCTGCCTTTCCTATGGGTCCTGCCTCTCCCAGGGACGGAGCTGGGGGACCTGGTCCCAGAGTGCGGCAGTGACGCTGGGCAGTGAGGCTGGTCTGGGAAGGGCCCACCAAGGTCAGCGCCCACTTGTCCTCCCCCTCCCCCCCCTCCCGGTGAAACCTGTGCTGGATGAGGTGGTTTTGTGCATCGGGGCCAGGGGCTGAGGGTCAGACACACCGAAGACACTGTTCTGTTTTTTTTTTTTAATATATTTTTATCCGTTTCAGAGAGGAAGGGAGAGAGAGAGCGAGAGACGTCAATAATGAAAGTCACTGGTGGCTGCCCCCTGCAGGCCCCCTACTGGGGATTGAGCCCGCAACCCGGGCATGTGCGGGAATCGAACGGAGATCTCCTGGTTCCTAGGTTGATGCTCAACCACTGAGCCCCACCGGCCGCGAAGACCCTGTTCTTAAAGAGGGGGGTCTTCCGCCTCCCCCAGTGGTGATGTCCTCTCCTGGTCATCCTTGCCCATCCCCCAGCCTCCCCCCCCCCAAAGGCTTGCCATCAGGGCCTCCTTCCCGCCCAGCGGGGCCCCCGGAGGGTGTGTGGTCCTTGGGGTCTGACAACCTGCATTTTCCGGGTTGTTTTTGGGGTGATGCTCAGCAGGTCTGGGGCCCCATCTTCCCAGTGGAGCCTCGGACGCCCGCTTTTCTAAGGTCGTAGAAATGATGGCTGGGTCTTCCCTCTTCCCTCGCTCCAGCTCCAGGACCCCTGTGTGCAAAGCTGGGGGCCGGGTTCTGTGGCCGGGAGACCTGGGGTCCAGGGAGGGCAGTCACCAAGCCACTGGGTGCTGACCCCTGGCCGCCGCCCGGGGCTCCGTCTTGGTCAGGGGCCGCTTGATTCCGATTGGGGTGAGATTAGGGCTGGTGGTCAGGGGTCTGGCATTGGGGGTGGGGGTGGGGGTGGGATGGCCCAGCCCAGGGCACTGAGGTCAGGGCAGGCCGGTGACGAGGGGTCCTGGAGGGAACAGGAGCTTCCACTTGGAGGTAGGATGCAGGGGGAGGTCAAGGGGAAAGGGTGGCAGACGCTGACTTCCGGAGTTCCTGGGGGCAGGAGGATGGTGGACGCGCCGGGTCAGGTGAGGGTGACCCCAGGGTGGGGGGTAGGCGGGTGGGAACGTTCCCCATCTGCTGAGACACCACCCCACAGGCTGTGGTGCTGGGGCAGGTGCTGAGGGTCTCTGAGCAGACGACGCCAGTCCCAGAGGGCGGGGTGGGCAGCTGGGGGCCAGCCATGTGAGCCAGGAAAAAAAAGGGGCCAGCCTGAGCCAGGCCTGTGGGCGGGGCCCTGGGCGGCTGTGCTCCCCGAGGTGTTGCCCTCGGTCGGGTCCTGGATCCTGGTGGTCAGAGACTATAAGCCCTCGTTTGGTGGAATTCCGGAGCCGGCGGGGCTCGCACCGCGCAGACCTGCTCTCTGCTCGGCACCTTTCAGGGCCCGGCAGATGCTTCTAAGGCTCTGCACTCGGGGTGTCAACATGGGGGACGTCCCTGCAGCTTCGCTTCTGCTCTGAGGACGAGCTTCCCTGTTTCAGCAAAGTCACCTCCCTCCCCTCCCCTGAGGGGGTGCGGGGGGT